TTCAGGGTTTAGGATTTAGGGTTTGGGTTTTAGGGTTCAGGGTTCAGGACTTAGGGTTCAGGGTTTCGGGTGCGCTTGGCGATGAAGGAAGGTCGGTTAGGACTTCCGTAGGCCGTCATGCCATCCTTCTTCCGTTCACCCCCCAAGACGTTATCATGATTGGAACCCCTGAAATGGCATCCCTATCTTGAGCTGTGAAAACTTCACTCACAATCCTTCATCCATCAAGGCTGGCAAGCGACTAGGGCTTAGGGTTTAGGATTTAGGGTTTGGGGTTTAGGGTTTAGGGTTCAGGGTTTAGGGTTTAGGGTTTAGGGTTTAGGGTTCAGGATTTAGGGTTTAGGGTTTCGGGGTCAGGGCTTAGGGTAAGTCGTGGCCAAGCATTCCTGAACCACAAGCTCTACACTTAAAACACGCCTTCCTGACCCCCCTCCCCGCCGCCTGCTTGAAGCCGCCCTAAGGGCGGATGCGTTTTGAGTTGAAGGTTGAGGGTTTGCCGTCAGAGGTTCCCAGTTTTTGGAGCCCTATAACCCGACAGCTCAAACCGTAAACCCCGAAACCCGAGTTCCGAAGTCCTAAGCCCTGAGCCCAAAGCCGCCTAACGGAGCCAGAACCGTCGGTCGAAAGGGTTTCGATCCGACGAACCATGGAACCCGATACTTGCTGTTTTGGGTTAGGGTCTAGGGTTTAGGGTTTAGGGTTTAGGGTTTAGGGTTTAGGGCTTAGGGTTTAGGTTTTCGGGTGTATTGCGGACGGTAGGGGCTGTTGGGTTGTATGCTGTGCGGCTCAGGGCTTGAGTGGTTCATCTTTACGGATATTTCTGATTTCTGGGGCAGTTGGCATTATCACGTGCCAAGGAGTGCCCCCTGATCTAGGAAAAACCCATGTTGGAAGTTATTTGGGCTCCTGTACTTGCTACTTTGCCGCGTCCTGGGGTTCGTAGAAGCCTTCCCATGCCCAGGGGACAGAAGGGCATACTACAACGTCACTTGATACTATGGGGATGATTCTTACCTTCCCCTTGTTGTCTAGTATGGAGCCCTAATTTTTAAATCATGTTGGGGACTGTTGAAATCGACACAGAGTATAGGGTTCTTGAGGGAGGGGGGGGGGTTCATGGGGTTTAGGGTTTAGGGTTTAGGGTTTAGGGTTTAGCACCTGGGCAACCTTTAGGGAAGTGGAGGGCTGAGGGAGCCTTTGAGGGGTGTCGGAATGCTGGACGATTTTTTTTTTGTGGTGGCTCCCCTATGTAAATGGAATGGAAGAATCCCCCCCAAAACCCTATTTTTGAATTATGAAAGGCACCTAGATTTCCCCCCCAAAAAACTAGAAGCGGCCATGAAGCTCCAAGTATGAACTTTGGGGAAGGAGCTGCAAAATGCCGCGGTGCCACTGGCCTTGCTCCTCGGGCAAGCAACCGGGGGTTTTGCGTTTTGGGAATTTTAGGGTGTCGGGTGTAGGGTTTAGGGTTTAGGGTTTAGGGTTTAGTTTAGGGTCCAGGGTTTAGGGTTTAAGGCTTAGGGTTTAGGGTTTAGGGTTAGGGTTTATGGTTTGGGGGCAAGTTTCTGGTTTGGGGTTTTGAGGCTTTGGGTTTCAGGACTTTAGGGATTGAAACCCTTAGACCGTAAACCCTTCAAAGAGCACGCTGGGGAGATAAATCCTGAACCCTTGAACCCTGAAATCTGAACCCGAAAACCCTAAACCCTAGCCCTAAACCCTAAACCCCAAACCCCACACCCGACATCCAAGATCCTGGCCCTGGAACTGGAACCGGCCGACTCCCAAGTCAACCCCAAAATCCCTAAACCCCAAACCCTAAACCCTAAACCCTAAACCCTAAACCCTGAACCCTGAACCCTGAACCCTAAACCCAAACCCTAAACCCTAAACCCTAAACCCTAAACCCTAAACCCTAAACCCTAAACCCTAAACCCTAAACCCCCAAGACAAAATATATGTGGTATCATTCTGAATTTTCCAAGATATTTGTCCAAACAGCTGACAAACAGAGTTTAAGTAAATTAATCCAACGTGGGAGGCCGGGAGGCCAAATGTTCAATTTACTTAAACCTCTGGGGCCTTCCCGGCTCCCGGCAAACCAAACAAAGCCCAAATCGCTTCCCAAAGCCCAAAATTGGCTTCCAAACTTGGCTTCCAATGGCTTCCAAAGCCCAAAATCCAAAGCCGAAAATGGGCTACCAGCCCAAAACGCTCCCAATGCCCAAATTGCTCCCAAATTCCAAAATTGCTGCCAAAGCCCAAAATTGACTCTCAAAGCCCAAAATTTGCTTCCAAAGCCCAAAATTGGCTCCCAAAGCCCCAAAGGGGCCAGGCTCGCCCCTGCCCACCCAGCCCCCCGCCCTTCCCCAAAGTAAAAATATAGTTCCAAAAAAAAAATTTCGGTCAAAACGTTTCGGTCAAAACGTTTCGGTCAAAACGTTATTGGGTCCCAAACCCTATACAATTTCCATCAAGCCCTGGAACAGAACGCTGAAGGCTTCTCGTCTCCCTGGACGACCGGCTTCTTTTTCCACCCCCGGGCTTCCAACAAGGCGGAGTGCCGGGGGGTTTGGGGTTTAGGGTTTGGGGTTTAGGGTTTGGGGTTTAGGGTTTAGTGTTTAGGGTTTAGGGTTTAGGGGTTAAGGGGTTTAGGGGTTTGGGGGTTTAGGGGTTTAGGGGTTTAGGGGTTTGGGGGTTTAGGGGTTTAGGGGTTTAGGGGTTTAGGGGGTTTAGGGGTTTAGGGGTTTAGGGGTTTAGGGGTGTAGGGGTTAGGGGGGTTGGGGTTTTGCGGTTTTTGCGGCTTAGGGGGTGTTAGGATTCTTAGGGAGGTTGGAGCTCGGGGTTTGTGGGGCTTTCGTCGGGCTCTGGGCTTCGGGATGCAAGGAGGGTGGAGGCCTAAGTTCTTGGTCTTCACGCCGCGACTTGCACCGGGCTAAAGGCAAAACCCTACAGCCTATACCCAACCCAGCGCGAACCCAGAACCCCGAACCCTAAAATTCCGAACTCGACGCCCGGACCCCGGCCCGAATAACTCTTGATGGGTGTGTGATGGGTGTGTGAATATGTGTGGGGTGGTACATTACTCATCCCTTGGAAGCTCTTTTGCCTCAGTCTACTTAAGTATTCCTCGAAACCCTATTCGAATCCGCATACCCCACCTTGCTCACCCTACCTACCAAGTCAAAGAGGCTTCCAAGTAGGTCCGTTCCGGAGTTTAGGGTTTAGGGTTTAGGGTTTAGGGTTGAGGGTTGAGGGTTTAGGGTTGAGGGTAGAGGTTGAGGGTTTAGAGTTTAGGGTTCCTCTCGCCAATTTAAGGTTTTCGGGTTTGCTGCTTCGCAACGTGGCCCGATTGTGGAGGGCCATCGCCTTTTCGGCAACCCGCCCTACTTGAAGGTTCAGGGCACTTCTCACCCCAACAATAGCTGTACTTAAAAGCCCCCGAAGTCCCCTAAGTAGGTTATAAGTAGACTTAAAATTGGGGGTTATAAGTACCCATGAACCTCCAAGCTATCTCTTCCTATCAGGGTTTAGGCCGAAGCTCATGTCCATCCCCCTAAACTTAAACCCTAAATCCTAAACCCTAAACCCTAAAACCGAAACCCCAAACCCTGAACCGTAAACACTAAATCCTAAACCCTAAACCCCGAATCCTAAACCCGAAACCCCAACAGAAAACCATAACTCTTTGGGGTCCTCAGTGATCCTGGAAGGTGCCGTGGCATCACCGGATGCTTTGAGGTCCTGCAGCAACAACGTGCGCAGCCAGGCGCCGTTGCTGGGGACACTGGATGAGGGTTTAGGGTTTAGGGTTCGGGTTTGAGATTTGTACGTCTGGGAGTTCTTGTGAAGGTGTTAGAAGCCTATGAGGCAAGTTTGTTTGACATCCTTTCCGAAGTTAGGAGGTTGTGGTTTAGGGTGTGGGATGTAGGGGTTGGGGTTTAGGTTGCGAGTGTTAGAGTCAGGCACACTCAGTTCTAATCCCTAGACCCTTGACCCTAAACCCTAAACCCGAAACCCTAAACCCTAAACTCTCATCCCAAGGCTGAACGCCGCCGTGCCGCGCGTGCACACCGGCATCCCAAAACGCCACAGAAGCTGTAGCAAAGGAAATGGTATAGGGTTTAGGGGTTTCGGGGTTTAGGGGTGAGGGGTTTAGGGTTTAGGGTTCAGGTAGCTTGCTCAGTTATGTAAGAAGCCTGATTTGTACGGAAGACGTGCCCTTAAACCCGCTCCTCCACATCTTACTCACTCATGCTTGCCTAGGAATGAGCGAGGGAATCCTGCTACCCAGACTATGCCTCAAGTGGTCCCATTATTCTCGATGACACACTCGGTAACACTCTCGCAACAGCTTCCAGCACCGTCAACCCTCAACCCGAAACCCGAAACCACAAAGGAACCCTAAACCCTAAACCCTAAACCCTAAACCCTAAACCCTAAACCCTAAACCCTAAACCCTAAACCCTAGACCCTAGACCCTAAACCCTAAACCCTAAACCCTAGACCCTAAACCCTAAACCCTAAACCCTAAACCCTAACCTCGAGCAGGCTTCGGTGCCAGTTCTGGACCTGCATGGTGCCGACGCCCAAGATAAGGGCATCGAGCTTTTGGAGTTCCGGGTTGAGGGTTTTAGGGTTTGGGGTTTAGGGTTTAGGGTTTGGGGTTTAGGGTTTCGGGTTTCGGGGTTCAGGGTTTTAGGGCTGAGGGTTCTATGGGGTTCAGGCCCTAAACCCTAAAGCCTAAACCCTATATACACCCTACGCCCGACACCCCACACCCTAAACCCCAGACCCTAAACCCCTCCTAAGACCCTCAACCCTATGACCCTAGACCCTAGCCCCTGCACCCGAAACCCGAAACCCGAAACCCTAAACCCTAAACCCTAAACCCTAAACCCTAAACCCTAAACCCTAAACCCTAAACCCTAAACCCACAACCCAAAACCCAAAACCAAGCTGCAGCCTCTGCGGCTTGATGCCCTCGAGCGCCTGTCCTCGCCATGTCAGCTTCCCAGGCACCTCGGGGTTCGCGTCTTTTTTTTTGGGGGGGGGGGGGGTTTAGGGCTTAGGGTTTGGGGTTTAGGGTTTAGGGTTTAGGGGTTTAGGGTTTAGGGGTTTAGGGTTTAGGGCTTCGGGTTTAGGGTTTAGGGTTGGGCTAAGGGTTTTGGGCTTAGGACTTCGGGTTCAGGGATTGCTGTAGTCTCCTTAGAGCTTCGCTGTCATCTTCCTTCATGACATGAACTCAGTGCAACCCTAAACCCCAAACTCAGCATATGTTTGGGTTGAGGTTTGGGAGTCTAGGTGTCAGGTTACGGGGTTGGGGTTTAGGGTCAAGCCTGAAAGGTTCAAAGATTTAGGGTTTAGGGTTTAGGGTTTAGGGTGTAGGTGTTAGGGGGCTCGGGGTTTCGGCTCGATGCTTTGGGGCTCATGCGCTTGGGAAGTGAAATCCGACTTCCCCCGCAATGACACCCCGAACCCCCGAATCCTGAAAGCCCCCAAGCCCCCTGAGCCCCTAGCCCCCCTAAACCCTAAACCCTAAACCCTAAACCCTAAACCCTAAACCCTAAACCCTAAACCCTAAACCCTAAACCCTAAACCCTAAACCCTAAACCCTAAACCCTAAACCCTAAACCCTAAACCCTAAACCCTAAACCCTAACCCTACACCCTAAACCCTAAACCCTAAACCCTAAACCCTAAACCCTAAACCCTAAACCCTAAACCCTAAACCCTAAACCCTAAACCCTAAACCCTAAACCCTAAACCCTAAACCCTAAACCCTAAACCCTAAACCTCCTTCGAGGCAGAGAATGGAGGTCTCCTCGATGATGGTGGTGCCAGGAGCAGCCGGGAAGGCAAAGTCGCCCCCATGCGCCCGGGCTACGTGTTAAAGGGGGTTTGGGGTTAGGGTTTAGGGCTTGATTTAGGCTTTAGGGTGTAGGTTTAGGGGAGATTTAGGGTTTAGGGTGTAGGGTTTAGGGGGATAAAGGCTTTTGGGTTGAGAGTTTAGGGGTGATTTAGGGTGTAGGGTTCAGGGTGTAGGGGATGTATGGTCAAGATTTAAGTCGGAGGGATTGAGGGTTTGGGGTTCAGGGTTTAGGGGGCATTTCAGGGTTAAGGGTAATCAGGGCTCAGCGTTCAGGGTTTAGGGGGTTTAGGGTTTAGGGATAAGGCAGATTTGGGGTGTACGGCATTCAGGGGCACTGAAGGGGCTTTGGGAACTGGGGCTTAAGGGGGATTTAGGGATTTGGGGGGATGGGGTCCGGGAGGTTGGGGTTAAGTTAGGGTTTAGGGTTTAGGGTTTGCGGTTTAGGGTTTAGGGTTAACCCGAACAAACAGTTCACATGCTGGAGCAAACCCTTGTAGAGTTCCCAGCCAAGCCAGTTGGCAGGCCCTTGAGGGTTTAGGGTTTAGGGTTTAGGGCTTAGGGTTTAGCCGAGCAAAACTGTAAAACCCTGAACCCTCATCCCCAAGCCTCAACCTTAAACCCTCAACCCTCGACCCTGAACCGGAATCCTGAACTACAAACCCTGAACCCTCAAGCCTGAGTTCCCTGAATCCACTCAACCCTCAGCCGAAACCCTCAACCCTGAGCCCACTGAACCCCCTGAACCCCCAGGTTTATATAGGGTTTAGGGTTTAGGGTTTAGGTTTAGGGTTTAGGGTTTAGGGATTTTTTAGGGTTTAGGGTTTAGGGTTTAGGGTTTAGGGTTCATAAACCCCTAGCCACAAGCCCTAAAACCCAGGCCCCGTGACCTGATGATCGTGTACGGTCTGGCGGTCCTCACGCGGCTCTTCACCAACCTGGAGGCGGCGCGTTACTTCGGCTTAGGGTTCTATAGGGTTTAGGGTTTAGGGTTTGGGGTTTAGGGTTTGGGGTTTGGGGTTTAGGGTTTAGGGCTTGGGGTTTAGGGTTTAGGGTTTAGGGCTTGGGATTTAGGGTTTCGGGAGGGACCCAGGCTTGGGGCGGACTGGGGCTCGGGCCCACTCAAACCACAAACCCTCAAAACGCATCGGGGATTTAGGGTTTAGGGTTTAGGGTTAGGTTTCTCGGGAGCAGGGAAGAGGGGGGGGGGTAGATTCTAGTAGATCTGTTGGGGTCCAGATTCCTTCTAGTCTCACAGGAAACGGGAATTTCTTCCGCGTTTTGCTGTGCAAAACCTATATCGCGTCTCTGAAAAACCTGCGCTTCCCCTGCATCTTACTTCAAAAAAAAGCAAAAACCTGTACTCCTGTATGTTGCCCCCCCCACCCCCCAGCTTGAAATATCAAAAAAAGCCCCCAGAAGCAAAGCAATCATGCCTGAAGCCCCAAAAGCTTCACGAAAGCCGCAGGTGGGGGGTGTTTAGGGCTCCGGGGATTCTCTAGGGTTTTGGTTTCAGGGTTTATGGGGTTTAGGCTTCAGGGTTTATAGGGTTGAGGGTTTAGGGTTTCAGGGTTTCAGGGTTTTAGGGTTTAGGGTTTCAGGTTGAGGGTTTCAGGGTTTAGGGTTTAGGGTTTCAGGGTTTCAGGGTTTAGGGTTTAGGGTTTCGGGTTTGGGTGCAATGGACCCAGAAGCCTCTGCTCCAACAGGCTCCTCGCACCACAGAGTCCCTCCAAGCAGCAGAATGCCGGAAAGATCCAGAGCTTGACTCCCCAAGGACCCTTTCCCTAAACCCAAAACCCAAAACCCAAAACCCAAAACCCTAAACCCTAAACCCTAAACCCTAAACCATTTTTTTTGGACCCTGGACCCACTTAAAGAACCCCCCTGAACCCCAAAAAAGCATTTAACTTCAAGGCCCTGTGAACCCTAAGATCCCTACACCCCAAACCTAAACCTTACAACCCCTAGCACCCTTCCCTGCGCGTCCTAAACCTCGAGATCCACCTTAAACCCCAAACCCTACCTGAAAACCCTCTGAACCCCCTACAAATCAAGCACTGTAGGCCCTATAAACCCGAAACACCCTAAACCCTAGAGACCCCCAAGCCCAGATAAAAGCCCCTAAGCCCTAAACCCCAATAAAGCCCTTCAACCCTGAAACTACTAGGAGCTTTTGGCTTTAGGGTTCGGGTTTAGGGTTTCGGGCTGAGCCTGAGCCTGAACACACTAAACCCACAGCCCAAGTCCTAAACCCTGAGCCCTGAACCCTGAACCCCGAACCCTAAACCCTAAAACCCTCCAGCCTAACCCAATTTGCAGGCTATCCCGGGCATGTCCACGACGTCCATGCTCTGCTGCTGCGTCCCTCGGCTGCTTCATGACAAATGTGCGGTTGAGGGCTTAGGGTTGAGGGTTTAGGGGTTAGGGTTTTGGTGTTTAGGGGGATCGCCCCCACCCCCCCCCCCCCCCGACGAAACCCAAAACCCCCCAAATCCGACACCCCAAACCCCTAAACCCGAACTCTATAGAGGGAAGTATGAGTATCCGCTCAAAGGCTTCAGCTGAGTGCGATGGCCCCCAGGTCTTGGCAGAGTGCCTCGAGCCATTGTGGCTCTTCCTCGTGGGCCTGGTGGGCGTGGGGGTCGCGCTGGGCCTGTCCACCTGGGGGTACCTTCAAGTCTCAGCGCTGCTGAGACGTGGCTAAACCCTAAACCCTAAACCCTAAACCCTCGAAACTGCCGATGGTTGAGGGTGGCTTGAGTTCTTTTGAGTTCGGGCCTACGGCTGCTGAGAGTCCGTGCCCACCGTCTGCCTGAGAATCTGACCAAGTGCAAGCCCTAAACCCTGAACCCAAAACCGTAAACTCTAAACCCTAAACCCTAAACCCTAAACCCTAAACCCTTAACCCTAAACCCCAAACCCTAAACCCTAAACCCTAAACCATCATTCTCAGGATCTGCGTCCTCTTGCAGATACCCCTCAGCCTCGCCTACCTGACGCACCGGTGGCTGACCCAAAGGCATCCGGACAGTTGGATCGTGACGCTGGCCTTCCCTTGTGTCAACACTGCCCTGCGCCTCTGCCTGAAGAGACTGGAAATCCCAAGCTTGCTTTGCCTCTGCCCTAGAACCCCTCAACTAAAAAACCCTGACAAACCCCACACAAACTCTTAAAAGCCCTAAAAAAACTCTCAACCCTCAACCCCTCCAAATTGAACCCTAAACCCTTAAGCCCTGAAACCCTAAAACCCTAAAACCCTAAAACCCTAAAACCCTAACCTCTAAGAACCCTCAAGCCCCGAAAGCTCCCAACCCCCCCCAAAGCTTACTGTTGGTCATGAGGGAGTTGGGGGAGTGAGGTACCCTATACAATCCTTTAAAGGGGTATATACGGGGCCCTAACTCCCTCATTCCCTGCTAACCAACAGCAAGAAGAATCATCGAGGTGGGTTCTCTCCTTCTTCTTCCTTCCCATCGGCTCCATTGCGAGCCCTGCCTACGACCTTGCGGGGCAGGCCTGCCACCGTAGGGTTTCGGGTGTTGGGAGGGTTTACGGTTTAGGGTTTAGGGTTCAGGGTTGCTCAAAGGGTAGTGTCATGGGCCCCTGAAGATGGTCCCTTACCTCCTCTAAAGGGGGGGGGCGCTTGATGTGTAGAAAAGGGTATAGAAGGGGCATAAGGGGGTCCCCTTTTGAGAGGCCCACACATGAAGCTACCCTGCGGGGTGCGGGTTCGGGTTCAGGGGCCTTGGTCTTCGGCTTCGGCTGCGGTGTTACTTCTAGCTCCCAAAGCCTTAAACCCTTAACCCTTAAAACCCTAAGCCCTAAACCCTACACCCTTAACCCTTAACCCTTAAAACCTTATACCCTAAACCCCAAACCCTAAACCGGGGTTGTGGGGCTTTAAGGTTTGGTTTCAGGGCTTGGGGTTTGCTGTTTGAGGCTTTAGGGTTTCGGGTTGAGGGCTTAGGGGTTTAGGGTTCAGGGCTTGGGGTTTAAGGGTTTAAGGTTTAAGGTTTCGTGACTTATCCTGGATTTCAAGACCTGCCTGGCTCGGACTGAGCCCCAAAGCTCTACACCCCAAGCCTCACCTTCTGTGCTTATCAAGCCCAAGCCCCCCTAAAACACAAAGGCCTGGTTGTAGTTGAAAGCTGTTATAGGGTTTAGGGTTTAGGGTTTAGGGTGGCGCAGCGCCAACCGGCGAAAAGAGACACGCAAATGAGACCATTCTGCGCTGGACCTCTTGTCTCGGGTACCTTGAATATAGGGTTTAGGGCGTAGGATTTAGGCTTTAGGGTCCTTTAAGATGGGGCTTTGTATCTGAATAGGTATCCCCAAAGGGATCATCATGTGCAGAAGCTAACTGCCCACTTGCGTAGAATGGCTGACTCACGTGTGCCGGATTCGGTCCGTGGCCGTAGACCGTGCAGTTGCAGCGGCAGTCCTCGCTGTAGCAGGAGCCGAAGCCACCAGCATCACACTCCTGGCTGATTTTTGTGCTGCAGAACATGTGCATTCATCCGTGTAGCGGTGTAGCGCCTGCCCCAAATCCTAAACCCTATACCCTAAACCCTAAACCCTCAACCCTCAACCCTAAACCCTAAACCTTTCAGGCGCTGATCCTCACTCAATGTGCGGCGTGGTTCGGGCGCAGCGGTGTGACCTTCATCCTTAGCTGGCTGGCGGCCGCTGGCGCTCATCGCTTTGCCTACCCCTCGGCGACGCGGGGCTTCAGGCCTGCGGGTGCAGGGTTTAGGGTTTAGGGTTTAGGGTTTAGGGTTTAGGGTTTAGGGTGTAGGGTTGTTCATGGGCAGTGTGTTTCCTTCTTCTGAACGTGGGGGTTACATGCATGGAAGAATGCAGCTGCCCCACCTCATTGTCGCTTAGGCCCTGAACCCTAAACCTTAAACCCTCAAGTAGGGTTCGGCAGCTTGGCCGTATTTCAAGCTCGTGATTGAGGCTTAGGACCCTTAGACAATTGGGGCCTTCGGGTATAGCCCCGAAGGCTCAACCCGAAAGCCCCATATCCCAACCCAAAAACAAACATCCTGCCCCTAAAAATTTTCCTTCCCCCTGGCCAGGATTGCCGTGACCGCTTTGCTCCCGAGATGCACTCAAGCATCGACATCGCTTGTAAAGGACTGCCCCTTAGTACAGTAGTACAGGAGCCTATGTAGTCATGACGACTACATTGGTGACCGTAAAACTTTTCTACCCCAAATAGAATAGGATCCCTTAAAGGGACCCCCCCAAAAGGGTACCCCTGTTGTCGGACACCCCCCCGTATTGGGCATGTCTGTCAACAAGCTCAGCATCCGTGGAGAAGCCGAGGTTCGTCCTGTGCCTTGCTGGAGGAGCTCGGTACTACGCCACCACTGCGTTCCTTGGGCCTTCATGGCATCTCGGGGTCATGATCGCCTAGGGCCTAGGGTTCACTGTAACCCAGACCTGTAGTCTAAAGGTAGTTCTACGGTTTCTTCATATGGTCCCTGGCCTCCTTAAAAGGGTTCTGGAGTTAGGGTTTATAAGGTATCTAAGGGGTAGAAAAGGGGTCCCCCCTTTTAAGGGCCCTTAAATGCCCCGAAAACTCGAAAGCCCTCAAGCCCAAACCCCTAAGCCCTAAAACTCAAAGCTGATTCCACGTAAAGCCCAGGCTTAGTATCCTTGCTTCACCTGGGGATGCCGCTCATGAGTCTGCCCTCAATAAAACCACCTTTGACCAAAGAATCCTTGAAAGCCACTAAACCCCGGGCCAAACCCCAAACCCTTAAAGCCCTAAGCCTCTAAACCCCAAATCCCCCAATCCCGTGGTCCACTAACCTCCTCAACCCCGAATCCCTTAAATCCTTGAGCCCTAAACCCTAAACCCTAAACCCTAAACCCTAAACCCTAAACCTTAAACCCTAAACCCTAAACCCTAAACCCTAAACCCTAAACCCTAAACCCTAAACCCTAAACCCTGTGATGGCTGTGTCTGCTACTTCTTGGAGGGCGCCTTCTGCGTGGGGCGCAATAGTCGACGAGGATGGGGACACGCCCAGCGGTGGCAGCATTGCTGGTGGAGGAGAGGACAACAACATGGCCGTGGAGGAGGACACTGGGTTGAAGTTCGTGCCTGGGCTGCTGGAGGCCATGTGATTGGGATGGAACTGAGGGATGAAGAGGTGGTGGAGTGAAGTGAGTGGTTGGGCCCTGTGGTTGAGCACGAGAAGAACGGAGGATGTGCGTGGTGGTCCTGAGTGTTGGTCCTGAGCGTGGTGAGGGGGTGGGGGTGGAACTGGGGAGAAGGAGGTGGATAGAAAAGTTTCACTGCCGACCGGACAGCACTCATGCTGCTCTCAGTATTCCGGTTAAAAAAAAACCTACACCCTAAACCCTAAACCCTAAGCCCTAAGCCCTAAGCCCTAAACCCTAAACCCTAAACCCTAAACCCTAAACCCCAAACCCCAAACCCTAAACCCTAAACCCTAAGCCCTCCCCCCTTGAACTTCCGTCTCAAGCCAAGGTTCATGGGCATGAAGTTCGTCCCGCCGGGAGGAGAGCCGCAGAACTACCACCGCGTCAGCTGCATCAGCATGATGCCCGACATGCGCCCTGGTCTAGGGTTTAGGGTTTAGGGTTTGGGGCTAGGGTTTAGGGTTTGGGGTTTGGGGTTTAGGGTTTAGGGTTTAGGCCCTTGGCTGTGAATATCAGGGTGTGTCTTTGGATGTTCCCCCTTATGCTTAGACTCCTTCATAGGGATTATCGTAAGGGGGGTCCTGTGATCCCTATTACGGACTGTTAGTATAAGGGGGAACATCCCAAGGTGTGTTGGTTTAGGTCTTTATTTTGTGGTTTAGGGCTTGAACCCTAAACCCCAAACCCTAAACCTTTATCCCTAAACCCTAAACCCTATTTCAGGTATGAGGAAACCGAGAAGCGCCTGGAGGCTGGCGACACCATAGTCACTTGGCCGGCGCCTTTCGACTTTCGTCTAGGGTTGAGGGTTTTGGGTTTAAGGTTTATAGAAATTGTGCAGGGTTTGGGTTTCGACAAAGTTTTCAACGAACCGTTTTCAACGAACCGTTTCCAAAAAAACGTTTTCAACGAAAGGTTTCAACGATCTTTCAATGGTTTTTTTCAACGAAAGTTTGCTACAGGCAATTTTCAATGAACATTTTTTTGACGACAGTTTCCCTTCTACTGCCCTTTTAGACCTTATTCTTTCACCATCAGTGAATCCCATGGGCTGGGTGTGAAACGAAACATGGCCGGATGTGAGAAGATTTCGTAGCCCAGAAGCGTTTTGAACGAACGTTTCGAACGACAGTTTCGAACGACATGTTTCGACCGACACTGTTGACATTTTGACCAAGGGCTTTTGCTTGGGAGTTCGAGGCTTGTCAGCTGTTTTAGACAACTTGGGAAACTCAGAATGAGACCACATACAATTTCTGTCTCTTTTGTCTCGAGGGTTTCGGGTTTAGGGTTAGGGTTTAGGGTTTAGGGCGTAACCCTAAAGCCTCAAAGCCTTTAAAAGCGACAGAGCCCAAAGAGCCCCAAGTCCTGTAAGAAAAGCCTCTACGTGAATCAAATCCCTCAACAAAAAAGATGAAGGATGAAAGAAACAAAGAAAGAAGGACAAAACCCTAAACCCTAGAAACCCGAAACCCTAAACGCCCCTAAACGCCCCTAAACGCCCCTAAACGCCCCTAAACGCCCCTAAACGCCCCTAAACGCCCCTAAACGCCCCTAAACGCCCCTAAACGCCCTAAACGCCCTAAACCCCCCCCCCCCCCCGAAAGCCGCACATTATTGCCCGAGGTGATGCACAGCGAGGTGAGCACCCCAGCAAGGGACGGGTCTCCTGTGGACCGCTACCAGGAGCTGTTTCCTTGAGCTTTAGGGCTTTAGGGCTTGTGGGCCTGGGTGTATAGGGTTTATAGTTTATAGGCTTTATACAGGCTTTATAGGGTTTACAGGGCTTGTAGGGCTTATAGGGTTTATAGAGTATATAGGGTATGTAGGATTTATAGGGTTTATAGGGATTTATAGGGTTTATGGGGATTTACAGGGTTTAGAGGGTTGATAGGGTTTGGAGGGTTTGCAGGGTTTAGAGGGTTTGGAGGGGTTATAGTGTTTTCAGGGTTTGTAAAGGGTTTACAGGGTTCACAGGGAAGTTTAGAGGGCTTTTTGACGGTTTTTAGAGGCTTCTAGAGGGCTTTCAGAGGGTTTCGCATGGTTTTAGAAGGTTTAGAGGGTTTATAGGGTTTATAGGGTTTCGAGGGTTTTTAGAGGGTTTCTTGTAGGGGTCTAAGAGGGTTTCAAGAGGGTTTATCTAGGGTTTGTAGGGTTTCTCGTCACTCCAGGAGCTGCTTCAGAAGCACTACGCAAAGACTGGGATCCCGGCCCTGGTCGTGCTTTGCTTCTCCATGGATAGCAGGCCCTACTACGCCCAAGCTAGGGCTTGGGCTTTAGGGTTTCTGTGGTTTAGGGTCTAGGGTTTAGGGTTTGGGGTTTAGGGTTTAGGGTTTAGGGTTTAGGGAATCAGAGGCGTGCTTGCCTTGAATGAAGCTGAAGCTACTCGCCTCCCCCTCTTCCCTCATAAGGGGCGATGTCCTGGAAAGCCCGAAACCCTAAACCCTAAACCCTGAACCCTAAACCCTAAACCCTAAACCCTAAACCCTAAACCCTAAACCCTAACCCTAAACCCTAAACCCTAAGCCCTAAACCCTAAATCCTAAACCCTAAACCCTAAACCGTAAACCCTAAACCCTAAACCCTAAACCCTAAACCCTAAGCCCTAAACCCTAAACCCTAAACCCTAAACCCTAAACCCTAAACCCTAAACCCTAAACCCTAAACCCTAAACCCTAAACCCTAAGCAGCCCGCAAGTCCCAGCAGGTCTTGGTACCACCTTGTGACGAAGGATGGCTCCGTGATGAGCTACGCCAAGAACCACCCGGTGCCGGTCATTGAAAGCGGCCTCGTTCCAGGCTCGCGCGCGCCTTTATTTAGGGTTTAGGGTTCAGGGTTTAGGGTTTAGGGTTTAGGGTTTTAGGGTTTAGGGTTTAGGCGGGGGGAGGGGAGAAGGGGTATTGGGGGGGGTCTGGGGTCCCTGCCGCGTACTCCCCGGATCGAAAAGCCACTCGCGACATGCAGCGAGACAGGGAGGGGGGTGGGGGTCACTTTGAAGACGGTTTGGTATACCAGTAGGGCCCGCCCCTTGCTCTATTAACTGTAGTTAAGGGAGTAAGAACCTACATAACAGGACTTCTGATCAGTTTGGGCCCTTAAAACCGTACTTATAACTTTGGAGGGCCCTACTTGGAGCAGGGAGCCTGCAGTGCCATGGGGCTGCTTTCAAGACTGCACGGTTTAGGGTTTAGGGTTTAGGGTTTAAGGTTTAGGGTTTAGGGTGTGGCAACGTTCTTCGCGTGCGTCGTGGGCCCTATACATGGGCTTTCACGGGCCCACTCCTACGCGCGCGTCGCGTGGCGGTACACCCACCCCAAACCACCCGGCATATAGCATTGCAGGGTTTCGGCCCCAGAGTCTGGTTGGTGCTCTTATCCGCAGTGGGCCTGTTCCACTGCAGCCGTGCGGCTGTCTTAAAGCGTCCCTCGTTCAGTTCAGACAGCAACGGTGGATGTTGGCATGGGGGGCTGGCAGCCCCGGCTTGACCTCCAGGTGAGTAAAGGCCGGGTGAGAGCCGGCCCCGCTCAGGGCTGGCCCGCAGCCGGAAAACGGGGCTGCCAAACCTGCACCTTCGGGAGTTAAACTGGTTTTTCGGGAGGGGGCGCCGGCAAAGTCTTTAAGTTCGTCTCGGTGGGACCGGCTGACGACCCCTTTGTGTGATGGGGCCGGGGCGTGGAGCATCCTGGCGGGACGTCCATGCAGAAGTGCGTGGGCTGGCTTAGAGCCGAAAAACCCAGCGGAGCGCCTTTTTCGGCCAGGACCAGCCAACCCCGAGACCCTCATACAGCTAGGAGAGCAGTCACGAAAACCGTGTTGCGTGACATGCAAGGGTTGTGGCACCGTGCTCTATGAGCTGCCCCAGAACAAGCAAAAGGCTTGAAGAGGCAACAGTGCCGTGGTGCAGCAAGAGCCGTAGCAAGCTCAGCCAGACAATCCTTCTCTAACCCCCAGGGGGGGGCGGAACGTGCTGGGGTCCCCAGAGACTGGGGGCTGGAAGGGGGGGGGGGGGGGGGGGGGGGGGGGGGTGGTGGCGCCGGCACGGGTGCTTGGGTTTAGGGTCACTCAAAGGCTCGACCGCCTGGCGCGCACGGCTGTGTGGTTATCTCAGGTCGCTCGCTGAGCGCTCGGACGGCTTCGGGCTCTCACGTGGTGGTAGCGAGCCCTCAGCCGGACTTTAGGGTTTAGGGCTTAGGGCCCCCATGTGAGGGAACCTAGGGCGCTTAGGGTTATTATATGGTCAGCTCTCAACATATTGGTGCCTTTTATGGCACCCTAAATAATCGGGGTCGCCGTATAGCAAGGACCTTTACAGGGACCATAGCTTAAAGAAATGATATAGAGGACCCATTTAAGTCTATGCGGGGCTCGTATCCCTTAATGAGCAGGTGACAGCCCGCCGACGGTTGCAAAGTCCATCAAGATCGGCAATGCCTCGGGGACGATCTCCGCGACGGGAACCATTTGCTTTGACACAGACTTCCCTTGGCTCACCCGCTCCGTGAGCGCGGCCGACATACTGCTGGAGAGCAGCGCAACTTGGAGCAATATAGGCCGGCAGCACCTGCACGGGCACCAGTACGCGGCTCTGGAAAATGGTCAGACGTTAGTCAAGTGCACTTACATGGGCTACAGTGGAGCCATCAATCCTTATGGGTCCATCATCACCCAGCTGCCTCAGACCAGGGACAATGTCGTGTCCTTCATGGTGCCTCGCTTTGCAAAGCCGCTGGTTCTGCCAACGCTGTACACGGTCTTTGATGTCGTCATGGGCATCTCGGCAATTGCCTGGCTCGTCTTGGCGCTGTCGCCGCAAGTGAGTAGCCGCTTTCTGGGCGATGGCCATCTGTAAAGGGCAGTTGCTATCCCCCGGGCAAAGCCTGTAGAGTTCCCATGATAGCTCGCCGGAAGCTTTGATACACTACGTCCTAAACCTTGATGCGTATCTACCCTAAACCCTAAACCCTAAACCCTAAACCCTAAACCCTAAACCCTAAACCCTAAACCCTAAACCCTAAACCCTAAACCCTAAACCCTAAACCCTAAACCCTAAACCCTAAACCCCAAACCCCAAACCCTCAGCTCTGAAGCCCCCACCCCTGAACCCAAAACCCCCCTGCAGATCGCAACTTTTGGAAACATGCGAAGGTTGCAGCCTCTGTGAAAGCAGTACAAAAGATCGACATTTGGCTCTTTCCAGGTTCCACGTTTCCCAGGAACGCCCACAGGAACGCCCACGTCCTAAATCTCTACATCTCGAGTTGCTGAACCTCTTAGACCCCGAGTCACCAAATCCTCAACCCCGGACAGAATCGCAACCTCAAGCTCCAAAAGAAGCCGTAACCCTAACGCCTCCAAACCACAACGGTGAAATTCCCAAACCCCAAAACCCACTTCCCTAGAAAACCCTGAAACCTGTTCTGCGAAACCCCTAGTCCCTAACCCCCGCTTCCCCAACCCAACAACCCTAAGCTCAGACCCGCTAGCTCCCTAAGCCCCAAAACCAGCCCAAAGCCCCCGAAACCCTAACACCCCAAACTGAAAACCCCACCTCCCAAAACCGACACCCCAACTACTCCCCAAACGCGGTACCAAGGGCGTAGGGCTTTTTGGAACTACCTACTTGAAAATGGGCCCAGAGCTAGTTGCTAGGTTTGTTTTCCAGTGTTGAGGGTCTGGGTTGAGGTTGTCTAGGGTTTAGGGCAAAACCGAACTTCAGGTTATTTTTGTTTGGGGGTTTGGAATTTGTTTAGCTCTACGCCTCCCTAAGCTACGCCGAACCTTCTGTTTATTCTGAGTGGGGTTTCGGGTTTAGGGTTCACTGCCCACACACGAACTTAAAGCTACCAAACCCGAACCCAATGGTGTCCTTCTGAGGTCACCCGCCATGGCGCTTCTGTCCTCCTGCACGTCCACGGCCACTTGGCAGGTCGATGAACGCCACGACGAGGGTGGAGAGTGGAGGATTTTTCCCCAAACAGGAACCGTTTGGGGTCCTCTCCTCAGAAAGAAAAAGCGTCACGCGCTTGGCCAGATGGGTGTCACGCGCTTCGGGCCTGTGGTCTCCCATGGTCTCCGATCATGAACACAATTGGGGCCATTGGGGCCGCATAGTTGTCACGCGCTCGGGCCTGCGGTCTCCCATGGTCTCCTATCATGAGCGCAATTGGGGCCAATCGGGGCTGGGTGTCACGCGCTTCGGGGCCTATGGCTCCCATGGTCTCCGATCATGAGCACAATTGGGGCCATTGGGGCCGGGTGGGTGTCACGCGCTTCGGGCCTGTGGTCTCCCATGGTCTCCGATCATGAGCACAATTGGGGCCAATTGGGGCCGGGTGGGTGTCACGCGCTCGGGCCTGCGGTCTCCCATGCTCTCCGATCATGAGCACAATTGGGGCCAATTGGGGCCGGGTGGGTGTCACGCGCTTCGGGGCCTGTGGTCTCCCACGGTCTCCGATCATGAGCGCAATTGGGGCCATTGGGGCCGGGTGGGTGTCACGCGCTCGGGCCTGTGCTCTCCCACGTGGTCTCCGATCATGAGCACAATTGGGGCCAATTGGGGCCGGGTGGGTGTCACGCGCTTCGGGGCCTGTGGTCTCCATGGTCTCCGATCATGAGCACAATAGGGGCCAATTGGCGGGCGGGTGTCACGCGCTTCGGGCCTGTGGTCTGCCATGGTCTCCGATCATGAGCTGGGTGGGTGGCGCACGCTCGGGCCTGTGGTCGTGGGCGGGTGTCACGCGTTTGGGACCTGCACCTGCGGTCTCCCACGGTCTCCGATCATGAGCGCAATTGGGGTCTCCAATGGTCTCCGATCATGAGCCGGGTGGGTGTCACGCGCTCGGGGGTGTCACGCGCTTCGGGCCTGTGGTCTCCCATGGTCTCCGATCATGAGCACAATTGGGACTATTGGGGCCGGGTGGGTGTCACGCGCTCGGGCCTGCGGTCTCCCATGGTCTCCGATCATGAGCACAATTGGGGCCAATTGGGGCCGGGTGGGTGTCACGCGCTTCGGGGCCTGTGGTCTCCCACGGTGTCCGATCATGAGCGCAATTGGGGCCATTGGGGCCGGGTGGGTGTCACGCGCTCGGGCCTGTGCTCTCCCACGTGGTCTCCGATCATGAGCACAATTGGGGCCAATTGGGGCCGGGTGGGTGTCACGCGCTTCGGGGCCTGTGGTCTCCATGGTCTCCGATCATGAGCACAATAGGGGCCAATTGGCGGGCGGGTGTCACGCGCTTCGGGCCTGTGGTCTCCCATGGTCTCCGATCATGAGCTGGGTGGGTGTCACACGCTCGGGCCTGTGGTCGTGGGCGGGTGTCACGCGTTTGGGACCTGCGGTCTCCCACGGTCTCCGGTCGTGAGCACAATTGGGGCCTCCCATGATCTCCGATCATGAGCCGGGTGGGTATCACGCGCTCGGGCCTGTGGTCGCTGGCGGGTACCACGCGTTTCGGGCCCGCGCGGTCTCCGATCAAGCGCGTGACACCCTCCCAACCCCTGTCACTTCACAGACCCTGGAAACCATGGACCGTGTGACACCTGCCCGGCCCTATTGCGCTCATGAGGAGACCATGAAAGACCACGGACCCCATTCTGAGGGAAAAACCACAGGCCCGAAGCGCGTGACACCCAAGGCTCCAATACCCCCAATTGTGCTCATGATCGGAATTCGTGCTCATGATGGGAGACCATGGGAGACCATGGGAGACCACAGGCCCGAAGCGCGTGACACTCACCCGGCCCCCAATGGCATTGTGATCCCCACGGTCTCGGATCATGAGCGACAGGGTTGGGAGGTGTCACGCGGGTCTGGTCTCCGATCATGAGTGCAGTGGGCTGGGTGGGTGTCACGCGGTTCGGGTCCGCGGTCTCGCATGGTCTCCGATCATAAGCGACAGGGGTTGGTCTCCCTCCCGATCATGAGCGGGTCCGTGCTTTCCATAGTCTCTAGGGTGTCACACGCTTGGGTTCATGGACTCCCATGATCTCCCAGCGCGAGCACAATCTCGGCGGGTGTCACGCGGTCCGGGTTCGGCTGGCTCTTCGTGGTCTCCGATCATGAGCGACAGGGGTTGGGAGGGTGTCGCGCGCTTGGTCCGTGGATTTCCGTGGTCTCCGATCATGAGCGCAATGGCTGGGCGGGTGTCGCGCGGTTCGGGTCCGTGATTTCCCATGACTCCGATCATGTGCAACAAGCTTGGGAGGGTGTCGCGCGCTGGGTTCGTGGTCTCCCATGGTCTCCTCATGAGCGCCATGGGCCTGGGCGGGTGTCGCGCGATCCGGCTCCGTGGTGTCCCATGATCTCTGATCATGAGCGACAGGGGTTGAGAGGGTGTCACGCGCTTGGATTCGTGGTCTCGCATGGTGAGCACAATGGGGCGGGACGAGTGTCACGCGGTTCGGGTCCGTGGTGAGTGGCAGGGGTTGGAGGAGAGGGTGTCACGCGCATAGGTTCGTGGTCTCCCAACATCTCCGATCATGAGCGCAATGGGGCCGGGCACGTGTCGCGCGATTCGGGTCCGTGGTGAGCGCGTTTGGGTCCGCGGTCTCCCACGGTCTCCGATTATGAGCGCAATGGGGCTGGCGGGTGTCACGCGGTCCGGGTTCGTGGTCTTTCGTGATCTCCGATCATGAGCGACATGGGTTGAGAGGGTGTCGTGCGCTTGGACTCGTGGTCTCCCATAATATCCGACCATGAGCGCAATGGGCTGGGCGGGTGTCACGCGGTTCGGGTCCGTGGTGAGCGACAGGGACTTGGGGGGTGTCACGCGCTTGGGTCCGTGGTCTCCGATGGTCTCTGAGCACGCTGGGCGGGTGTCACGTGGTCCGGTTTCGTGGTCTGTCATGGTGTCCGATCATGAGCGACACGGGTTGAGAGGGTGTCACGCGCATGGGTTCGTGGTCTCCCAACATCTCCGATCATGAGCGCAATGGGGCCTGGCGGGTGTCACGCGGTTCGGGTCCGTGGTGAGCTACAGGCATTGAGAGGGCGTTCACGCGTTTGGGTCTGCGGGCTCCCACGGTCTCGGATCACGAGCGCGTGCAGTAGGGCTGGCGGGTGTCACGCGGTCCGGGTCCGTGGTCTCCCGTGATCTCCGATCATGAGCGACAGGGGTTGAGGGTGTCACGCGCTTGGGTTCGTGGTCTCCCATGGTCTCCGACCATGAGCGCAATGGGGCCGGGCGGGTGTCACGCGGTTCGGGTCCGTGGTGAGCGACAGGGATTGGGGGGGTGTCACGCGCTTGGGTCCGTGGTCTCCGATGGTCTCTGATCATGAGCGACAGGGGTTGAGAGGGGCGGAGGCAGGGTGGACCCAGAATCAGAAAGAACATGCTCAGATGCATTTTTCAAAGCGGGCAAAATGCATTCGCGCAGCTTGCTCCTTCCACAACCACAATACAATTGAATTAAGAGCTGATCTTTTGTCGTAAAGACAGAGGCTGCGTACAGAAGAAGCCTCTGTCCAAATGCATTTCTCGCCCGTGCTTTCATGCATTCAGCTGTTTTCGCCTTCTAAAAAGTGCACAAAAAGAGCACAGCGTTGCAAATGTGGCAAGCAAGACCAAATGCGTTTTTTAGGCCTGACAAAATGCATTCGGGCAGCGCTTGGACATCCATGTCTATTGGTATTTTACGACCAACATTTCCCCGACATGCATCTGAGGGCATTCCACATGCATTTTTCGTCGCCCGAAAAACGCATCTGGCACTGGTTTCCCATCATGTTGCAATCTTGGGTTCTGCCGGCTCAGGACTTCTAAATTTCATGTCTTTCTGCGCGTAAGAACATCCAGAATCTATATATAGGATTTGAACGCGTTTAGAACCGTAATCACCGTTTCGCAAAATTCCCGAAAAGGGGCTTAAAATATCCTAAAATTAGAAGCAACGTGCCCAGATGTATTTTGCAAAGCAGGCAAAATGCATTCGCGCAGCTTGCTCCTTCCAAAACCACAACAAAAAACTCACTTGATAGCTGACTTTCGTGTCAAAGACAGAGGCCCCGTACGGAAGAAACCAAAGTCTGCATTTTTCGCCTGTGCCCAAATGCATTCAGCTGTGTTCGCTTTGAAAAAGTGCAGAAAGAGCACGCGGCGTTGCAAATGTGGAAAGCAAGACCAAATGCGTTTTTCAGGCCTGGCAAAATGCATTCGGCAGCGTCTGGTCATCCATGTCTATTCGGCTATCCTTGCTCCATTTCAGCATGAAAAACAAACGAAAACAAAACAAAAGAATAGATTTGTGTTTTACGACCAACATCTACCCGACATGCATTTCTAGGGCATTCCAAATGCATTTTTCGTTGCCCGAAGAATGCATTTGGCACTGGTTTCCTATCATGTTTAGTTTTGGTTTCTGCTGGCTCATGACGTATTCGATTCTTCTGATGTGTTTTCTGTGCATAAAAGTAGCTATAGTAATTGAAAAACTTGTTTAGAACAATGTTCGACATTTTGCAGGAGTACCAAAACAGACCCAGAATCAGGAAGAACATGCTCAGGTGCATTTTTCAAAGTGGGCGAAATGCATTCGCGCAGCTTGCTCCTTCCACAACCACAATACAATTGAATTAAGAGCTGATCTTTTGTCGTAAAGACAGAGGCTGCGTACAGAAGAAGCCTCTGTCCAAATGCATTTCTCGCCCGTGCTTTAATGCATTCAGCTGTTTTCGCCTTCTAAAAAGTGCACAAAAAGAGCACAGCGTTGCAAATGTGGCAAGCAAGACCAAATGCGTTTTTTAGGCCTGACAAAATGCATTCGGGCAGCGCTTGGACATCCATGTCTATTGGTATTTTACGACCAACATTTCCCCGACATGCATCTGAGGGCATTCCACATGCATGTTTCGTCGCCCGAAAAACGCATTTGGCACTGGTTTCCCATCATGTTGCAATCTTGGGTTCTGCCGGCTCAGGACTTCTAAATTTCATGTCTTTCTGCGCGTAAGAACATCTAGAATCTATATATAGGATTTGAACGCATTTAGAACCATAATCACCGTTTCGCAAAATTCCCGAAAAGGGGCCTAAAATATCCTAAAATTAGAAGCAACGTGCCCAGATGTATTTTGCAAAGCAGGCAAAATGCATTCGCGCAGCTTGCTCCTTCCAAAACCACAACAAAAAACTCACTTGATAGCTGACTTTCGTGTCAAAGACAGAGGCCCCGTACGGAAGAAACCAAAGTCCGAATGCATTTTTCGCCTGTGCCCAAATGCATTCAGCTGTGTTCGCTTTGAAAAAGTGCAGAAAGAGCACGCGGCGTTGCAAATGTGGAAAGCAAGACCAAATGCGTTTTTCAGGCCTGGCAAAATGCATTCGGCAGCGTCTGGTCATCCATGTCTGTTCGGTTATCCTTGCTCCATTTCAGCATGAAAAACAAACGAAAACAAAACAAAAGAATAGATTTGTGTTTTACGACCAACATCTACCCGACATGCATTTCTAGGGCATTCCAAATGCATTTTTCGTTGCCCGAAGAATGCATTTGGCACTGGTTTCCTATCATGTTTAGTTTTGGTTTCTGCTGGCTCATGACGTATTCGATTCTTCTGATGTGTTTTCTGTGCATAAAAGTAGCTATAGTAATTGAAAAACTTGTTTAGAACAATGTTCGACATTTTGCAGGAGTACCAAAACAGACCCAGAATCAGGAAGAACATGCTCAGGTGCATTTTTCAAAGTGGGCGAAATGCATTCGCGCAGCTTGCTCCTTCCACAACCACAATACAATTGAATTACGAGCTGATCTTTTGTCGTAAAGACAAGCTGCGTACAGAAGAGGCGAATGCGCAACTGCGTTTTTCGCGCGTGCCCAAATGCACTCAGCTGTTTTCGCCCTTGAAAAAGTACAGAAAGAGAGAGCATGGCGTTGCAAATGTAGAAAGCAAGACCAAATGCATTTTTCAGGCCTGGCAAAATGCATGTGGGCAGCGCTGGGACATCCATGTCGATCCCTCGTTTGGATTGGGAAAGGATTGTTCCGACCCCTGGCAGCTCCAAAAAGAAGCTTGAAACCCACGCCTCCATACTGAGCCCAATTTTTCTGATTGTAAACTCGGCCTGCCGAGTTCTACGCGTCGCGTTATTGTTTCATGCCGCTTTCCCTTGATCTACAATCTTACTGTTTGGGGTCGTCGCCGGCGTAATTTATAGCTGGCTTCCGCGCTCAATGTAAAAGGCTGTAATGAAGCCACAAGCGAAAGGGGTTAGAACCACTCCCGTGAATGACAAAGAGCCCGCCCCAAACGTTGCCCCCCTTCAGCCCGACAGAGGATGGCTGGATGGCAAAGAACATGTGCAGACTTTTGTCAACCCTAAACCCTAAACCCTAAACCCTAAACCCTAAACCCTAAACCCTAAACCCTAAACCCTAAACCCTAAACCCTGAACCGTAAACCGGGACTTAGGGTTTTGGCTTCGGGTGGCTTGGGGCTTGAAGGGTTTAACCCTAAACCCCAAACCCCAAACCCCAAACCCCAAACCCCAAACCCCAAACCCTGAACCCTAAACCCTAAACCCTAAACCCTAAACCCTAAACCCTAAACCCTAAACCCTAAACCCTAAATCCTAAACCCTAAACCTTAAACCCTAAATTAAGGTTGGGAGTCCATGCTCTGAGGCTTCCGGCCCTACTTCTACGCAGCCAAGCCGGCTGTAGAGGCGCTGGGGCATGTTCGACCTTGCCTAAACCCTAAACCCTAAACCCTAAACCCTAAACCCTAAACCCTAAACCCTAAACCCTAAACCCTAAACCCTAAACCCTAAACCCTAAACCCTAAACCGGCTGAACCCTAGATGGCTGAGGTCTGGGAGGATATGGCAGACGTGTGAAGTGTCAGGGCATGTGAAGCTTAGTGTCATGGGCCTGGACCCGGCCAAAGTCCCAGCCAAGCCACGTACACTTCCCGAAGTCCTAATGGCTCTAGGGGTTTAAGGTTTGGGGCCCAAAACTTAAACCCTAAACCCTAAACCCTAAACCCTAAACCCTAAACCCTAAACCCTAAACCCTAAACCCTAAACCCTAAACCCTAAACCCTAAACCCTAAACCCTAAACCCTAAACCCTAAAGCGTCAGCCCAAATCCTTCGAAGGTTGATTTGGAGTTCTGCCTGCAGACCCTGGACCGCGCTGTGCGGAACAACGACGGAGGCATCGCCACCTGTCCGCACGCTTGTGGCGAGTTCCCTATATACACTGAGTATCCACAATACTCCCGAAACCACCAAAACCCTAAATGTCCTAAACCCCCCACAAAGTTGAGTTGAGGCTAGTTTTCAGTGCAGCCACCGCAAGCTTGCTGGCAGAGGGTTTTAGGTGCCCTATAGAATCCCTTTTCCCCTCAACCTAAACCTCTGAATATGGGGTTGCAGGGGCAGCCTCTCAGTCCTGTGGCTGGGGGGCGGTTTTTTTTTTTGTGTCCCTTTGGGCTGCCTTGGCCGCTTGTGCTTCACAGGAATGTAAGGGTTGAGGGTTGCAGGGTTTGGGGCTTGGGGTTAAGGGTTTAGGGGTTTAGGGGTTTAGGGGGTTTAGGGGGTTTAGGGGTTTAAGGGTTTAGGGTTGAGTGTTTTCTGCCGCCTTTGCGCTTGGGATCTGCAACGTGGAAGGGATTGATCTGGCCTGGTTGCCTGGGATGACCTCCTCCTGGAAATGGATGACAAGTCCGGAGCATGTTTTTGCTGCGGTCCACGACAGTCACCGTCTACGGCGTTAAGGTTTCGGGTTTAGGGTTTAGGGTTTAGGGTTTAGGGTTTGGGGTTTGGGGTTTAGGGTTTAAGGCCCTAAAGGCTTGAAACCCTAAGCCCTAAGACCTGAACCCCGGGAGCCTCTCGGTGTGCTAATTAAGGGAGGGTTGGCCCTAAACCTTAAACCCTAAACCCTAAAAACCCTACAACCTAGACCCTCCGTAAAGGACCTTGTAGTTGAGCAAATTTTATGCTTGCACCTGACCGCCGCCTTACTGAGCTTGGTGAGTGAACCTCGAAACTTCAGGGTTTAGGGTTTAGGCTTTCGCGTTTAGGGCGAATCCTTAAACCTTGAACACCGAAACCCTGAATACAAGGTTTTGGGCGTTTAAGGGTTCCGAAACAATGGTATGTGAGATTGGGACCTCTCGGGTTGTAGGGCTGTGGGGGTTCTAGGCCTTTACTTCTCGGGTTCCAGTTTTTAAGGTTTTCACCCTAAGCCCTGAGAGTTTAGGGTTTAGGGTTTGGGGTTTAGGGCTTGAGGGTTTAGCGTTTGGGGTTTAGGGTTTAGGGTTTAGGGAGTCCTCAACCCACCCCCAGGACATGCTGGAGGAGGTGGAGAGAACGCCACTCATGAACTTCCAGCCCAACGCGGAGCGCTTCATCCGGGTCGTCTTGCCGCCTGTCTTCAGCGTTTGCGACTTGTTGGGGTTTAGGGTTTAGGGTTTAGGGTTTAGGGTTTAGGGTTTAGGGTTGAGGGTGAGTGTGACAATACAGAAGTTTGTGACCAAAAGCTTCGCTTGTTCGGGCTGGGCATGCTAGCCCCCCATATCCTAAGCCCTTTCCTACGGGGGGGGGGCTCCTCCTTGCAGTTGCCATGATGACATACGGTAACTCACAGTCTTTTCAAAAAGCAGTACACAGCAGCACTGAGCAAATAAAAAATGTTGAATGAGTTGAGCTTTTGTGCAGCACAAGTTCGAAGGCCCTGAAGTCCATACAGCCCCAACCCCACCGTCCCCACCCTAGACACCTGACCACCCAAAATGCCCTCTGTAAACCTAAGCAATAGCCAATCAAAATTCACACAGCTGCCCAAACCTCCGAACCCCCCCCAAAGCTCCGGGAACCCTATAAACCCTAAACCCTGAGCCCTAAGAAGACCCTAAACCCTAAACCCTAAGCCCTAAGCCCTAAGCCCTAACACTAACCCCTAAACCCTAAACCCTAAACCCTAAACCCTAAACCCTAAACCCTAAACCCTAAACCCTAAACCCTAAACCCTAAACCCTAAACCCTAAACCCCAAACCCTAAACCCTAAACCCTAAACCCTAAACCTCCCCAGGTCGAGCCCCAAGCTGCTCGGCGCCTGCCGCAGCACGCTGGAGCGGGGCCTGCACCTCCCCAACGGGGTGTTGTGGCAGTCACAGGCCGAAGTTGGGGTTTTAGGGTTTAGGGTTTAGGGTTTAGGGTTTAGGGTTCTGGGGACCTTGGGATGTTCCCCTTTATACTAACAGTCCTTGATAGGGATGATAATCGGGGGTTATAGAATCCCTATGAAGGATTGGTAGTATAAGGGGGAACATCCCAAGTTTCAGGGTTTGAGGGGTTCAGTTGGACAGGGCTAGGGGCTTTTGGTTTCAGGAGAGGTTTATGGTTGTAGAATTGTCAAGGTTTCAGGTAGGGTGTACGTAGGGTTCCCCTAAAGCCAAAACCCTAAACCCTAAGGCCACAAATCGTAAAGAGTCTTCGAGTTTCAGGCTTCCGGGTTTCTTGTGTTTCAGGGATTCAGGATTCGGGTTTCGGGGGGGGCTTTAGGGTAAAAGGCCCCGTAAGCCCCAAGCCCTAAACCCTAGACCCGAAACCCCGTGAAGTCAGGGTTCCAGTTTGAGGGGCTTCGGGTCGAGTAGCTTTGGGTTTTGAGACTTCTGTCTTTTTTTTTGTTGGGGTCTCCGACCTTCAGTAAGGGTTTGGGCGTTTAAGGGATTAGGGTTTGGGATTTCAGAGGGTCTCAGGGTTGAGGAGGCCCTCCTAAAATCTCCAAGAGCAAACAAGGTGCTGAGGCTTGTCCCTTGAACCCCAAAGCCCCCGCCTAAAACGTGGTGTTTGCTGCGTTTGTTTTGTGGTTTTGGGGTTTAGGGTCTTTCCCCAGGCCCTGCACCCTAAACCCTAAAATCTTTCACTGAACCCTAAACCCTAAACTGTTCAGCATGTAGGAATGGAGCGGGGTTGATGGCTGAGGTTATAGGCTTGAGGTTTCGGGTTTCGGCCCTCAATCCGAATAGCAGCTTAATGGGGCCGTTCAGCTAGAAGGTGCATTAATTGACGCCTAGTGTGGTTTTGCGTTTAAGTAACAGGCGCTTAGTAGCTGAGTAAATAACCTTTAACCTTTTAGGGTATACACAATCCTACCATGATTTAAAGGTTAACTTTTTTTGGGCCAGGGTACTCGGCACCCAGGATGGAATACAAGGTTGGTATTTGTTTAGGCGTCCGTGTGACGTTCCTACAGAAACGGGTGCCTGCACCTTACAGTCCTGAAGCCCCTCAACCTTAGGAGGAAGCCTTAGCTTCAACCATCCCCAGCCCGAAGCCCTATGCCCTATAAACCCTAGACCCTATACCCTAAACCCTAAACCCTAAACCCTAAACCCGAAACCCTAAACCCTAAACCCGAAACCCTAAACAGGCCTTCGAGGTGGTGCCCTTGCAGCAGCGCTTCCTGGTGGACGTCGCTGGCGGGGGTGGCAGCTGGTTCGAGGCCGCCATTGTCGACATGGGGGGTTTAGGGGGTTAGGGCTATTGGAGACGGGCTTCGGGTTTCGGCTTTGATGGTTAGGTTTAGGGTTTAGGGTTTAGGGTTTAGGGTTTAGGGTTATTGGAGACGGACTTAGGGTTTAGGGTTTAGGATTGAGGGTGATTGGAGACGGGCTTAGGGTTTCGGGTTCAGGGTTGAGGTTTCAGGGTTTAGGTTTATTTGAGATGGGTTTAGGGTTTAGGGTCCAGGGGTTTAGATTTGGGGCTCCCTATATTATGATGGTCCGATTTGGAGATCCTGTTACAACAAGGGGCCTTTTTGGTGCAGAGTGTACGTAAAGTGTAGGGTTTTGGTGTTCTGTCTTTTTGTGGATCAGATTTTAGAGAGTGTTCAGGCAACATTTTGATTAGGCTTGTGTCGGCTTTTAGTGAACAGCGCTTCTTGGAAGGCCGCTGAAATGATTCAAATCATAGGAACCATAGGCTTTTATACTCAGAGCCTTCAGTGCGCGATGCATGAATGGAAACCCTAAACCCTAAACCCTAAACCCTAAACCCTAAACCCTAAACCCTAAACCCTAAACCCGAAACCCTACACCCTACACCCTACACCCTAAACCCTAAACCCTAAACCCTAAACCCTGTCTTCGGACCCGATACTTAAACCCACAACCCGAACTTCGAGCCGCAGGGAGGAGAGCCCGCAACTGTGACTTTCATGATTCGAGTATGGGGGGCTCCTGGTATGGGCCCTTGCATGTGTACATTATGTGTATCTGTATATGCATATTGTATAGGTGGCATGTGCATGTGCATGTGCATGTACGTGTTTATGTATATGCGTATGTGTATATGCGCGAAGGAATTCAGGCTTTTGTATGTGTGTATTGCTCTACATTAGGTATTCAAGGGCCCCAGATCAGAGAGCTCAAGTCTTTAAACCGACCAGCCCAAAGGGTTGAGGGGTTTAGGGTTTAGGGTTTAGGGTTTAGGGTTTAGGGTTTAGGGTTTAGGGTTTAGGGTTTAGGGTGTTTACCCTAGCACCTTAATCTCGTGAGCCTAAACCCCAAACCCCCACTCCTCGAACCTAGGCCTCCCGGAGCCCCGAACCCTAGAGGTGCCCTAAGCCCTAAACCCTAAACCCTGAACCCTGAACCCTAAACCCTAAACCCTAAACCCTAAACCCTAAACCCTAAACCCTAAACCCTAAACCCTAAACCCGGGCACTCATTTGGCTAGGTGCCTGCTGGGCGCTTTCGGCCCAGGCCAAGCCCCGGTGCCGCCAAGACCTGCACCTGGGCCTGGGCTTAGGGTTTAGGGTTTAGGGTTTAGGGTTTAGGGTTTAGGGTTTAGGGTTTAGGGTTTAGGGTTTCGGGTTTCGGGTTTAGGGTTAGGGTTGTGTAGGGGTTTGGGGTTTAGAGTTTAGGGGTTTTGCTATCGGTTTAGGGCAAAAAACATGCAGAACCCATGCCAACCCTAACCTTCTGCCTGGAACCACCAAAGCTGTGTTGAGGGTTT